GTTTCTTATTATCATTAATAGGATAAATTTTACTTAACTTGTTGTTGCCAAAATTAAAATCAACTAGTATAGTATTAGTATAGGCAATGAGACATCCCTACAAGTATGAAAAATGTGAAAGAATATATAAACACTCGTGATTCATCATTCCTCCACGAGTAGACAATGATTACACTTACATTATCGTTTATATTTTTAAAACCCTTCAAACCATCATGAATAGTGTTTTTATTTGAGTGTAAAAGTAATAAAATTAATAATAATTATTGTAGAAGTGTAAGAAATGTAATACACACACACACACACACACACACACACACACACACAATCACTCGTTGTGACAAGCTTTACAACTTTCGTGAAGGGGTTAACTTCGAAATCCGACACTATAATCCATAAACCTTAAATTTGTATTTAACTGTCGATTGTCGTTTAGACTTTATTCTTTATATTGAATTTCATTGTAAAAAATTTCTTTTTTGAAAACATGATCTTCTGGGGGATGTAGGAAGATGAACGGTTCGGATCTTTGATATCACGTCCCGATATTTATGGTTAATTGAAATATGAGTCGATGTTATATAGTTTGTAGAGACTTTATAAACACCAAGCAATATTTTCACTAACAGTAAAACTCCGAACATAATGTCAACGATCCGAACTGTTCATCTTCCTGTATCCTCTAATAGATCATGTTTTCAAAAAATAAAATTTAAAAAAATAAAATTTGGTGAGAAAAATGAAGCATAAATGTAAACAATAATCGACGGTTAAATTTTGATATATGATTTATATGATTATAGTGATACATTTCAAAGTTAAACCATTCATGAAAGTTGTAAAGCTTGTCATTACGAGCGTTTATATATATTTTTCTATATTTTTCGCACTTCTACATTAATTAAAAAACTATTAAAGACTTTACTTAAACAATAGCCATAGGATAAATGAGAAGAGAGTGCTAATGTAGAAAGTCTCACTGAACATATCATCAATATAACTCTTGAAGACAATATATCAAGTCAAAGTTCCAATACCGTTTCCTATAGTGATTGATGAAAATTGAAGAGTTTGATTGTAAGAAAATGTGCAAGGTTCCAAACCTTGAAACATAACTCCCTTAATTTTGCAAATCTTTTAAACATTTGATATTTTGTAACGTTCTAATGTTTTTTTTTATTTTTTTATTATGCTCTTATTTTGGGTATGTAAATATGTAATACTTGAAAGATAAATGCGTTTTTATGTTTTGAATGTGATAATATGGTATGTATATACTTATTAATATTATGTTTTTTATTTGATTATTATTGGTTTAAAATATTTTCCTTAACGGGTAACGGGTTGGGTCATATTACTTGTTAATATTATCGGGTCAATTTCGGATCGAGTCATTTTACACGTTTATTTTAATGGGTGCTACACAACATGATAGTATTGTTAAAGATTCAATTGGTGATAAAACTTAGAGCTAGTTAGTTTGTTGTGGTGGTTGTATTAGACTAGTAATTAGTTGAGATTGTTGTATAGGTGGCAAGGTGGTTAGAAGGTTAGAGTTATGTGAGAGTGTAGAGGGTATACATACATACATATATATATGTTAGAGTTATGTGAGAGTGCAGAGGGTATACAAAGAAGACACTAAATTGGAGACTGCAAACCGCGGCCGAATTTCGGAGGGTAACTTCGTAAATTTAGGAGGGTGTTGAAAAACGGTCGCACAAGAATCAAAATAAAAACCCCTCTCCGCTATTGCATCATTGCACGCAGCTGCACGAACAAAACGCAGAAAATACATTTTCTGCGTCGAGTCTGCCCCTTTCCCTCTCACTCGCAGCGTTGCTTCTGCTTTGGTCTCTTCCTTTTCCTACTGCCTAGCATATAACAAGGTAACTTTATTTCTAGCTTTTTATTATTCAATTTCAGTTTATATATATTTTTTTTAAATGAAAGAACGATACTTTTTTTTGCTTCAATTCTTATTTCGCTTTTGAATTTCAATTGGCATAATTGTGGAATCTTCTGATCTTTTTGTGTGTGTAGAAGAACAAGGGTGAGGTCCATAATTGACATTGCACAAATGACGAACAAAACATCCAAAATTGGACAATACTTGTTGGTGAATATTCTGTCAACTCTGCCTCCGAAATCTCTGATGCGATTCAAGTGCGTCGCTAAATGGTGGCATGCTCTCATCAACGACCCCAGGTTCGTCGACAAGCACCTCTCCCATTCCTTGCTGGACGATCAATCCACTCGTGTCCTTTTGAAGCGAATGTTATTCCCTTCTACAGAGGACCCAAACAGGGACAAATTTCAATCCGTATTCTCAGTGCTTACTTTTGACAATGTCATTGTTGATGACGACGATGGTGTTGTGCACAAGTGTAGCACTCTTTCTGGGATCGAGGACTTCGATATTCCTCTTTCTATGAGTCTAGAGATTGGAGATGATCAATCATTTCATGTTACAGGTCATTGTGATGGAATCATTTGTCTAGCTCGACCTAATTCTACTAAGGTGCTTTTGTGGAATCCGGCAATTCAGGAATTCAGGGTCCTTCCCTCGGAGACATACATTCCAGATTGGTTCGACGAAGCATCCCTTAGGGATCCTCATCCTTGGTGGTTGGATATGCCTTACATGCCACTAACAGATCGGTTCCACGATGTTTTGGGATTAGGCTATGATCCTAAATCTAAGATTACAAAGTTGTCAAAATTGGATTTTCTTGTTCAGAATTGCATGGCGGCACACAACATTTGATTATTCATCCTCTCAAGGTAGTGGTGTATACCTTGGGAACTAATTCTTGGAGAGAGATCGAGCCTTGTTCTTTAGAAACGGAAACTACTTTCCTTTGGCCTGAAACTTTTCAGGTGTACTTCAAGGGGATGTGTTATTGGATAGGAAGTGAGCAACAAAAGGAATTTGTCCATTTCTATGATGCCGGCCGTCAGGAGGAAGAAAAGATTAGGCGAGTGATCATTTTGTTTGACATGAGTCGAGAGGTGTTTCATGACATACTGTTACCACATGAGATGCTAGAGTTCAATGATTTCGAAGGAATTGGTATTCAAATGTGTCTTAAGGTGTGGAATGAATCCATCGCTCTTTTTCGCTTGAATTATAATACTTTTGAAGGTGGTGATACACTACCCTTTGAAATGTGGCTCATGGATGATGATTCTCGTGGTGGTGCGAATAATGAGGGCGGTGTTTGGACAAAACACTTTGCTGCCAAGATCCCATGGTTCTCATTGTCCCCCTTGCTCCTGCAGAACACATCGGCAATGTGGAAAAGCAACGAGGTTCTTATGGTAGAGGAAAATGGAGGCATAGTATGCTATAACCTCGGCACTAAAAAGTTAAAAAATCTACCCATTCAAAGTGCTGTAAGGATTATTCCCATTTTTCCTCTGCCACCTTCTTATTTTCCAGAGTGCAAAGCAAATCATTCACCCGTTGTATATGTGAAGAGTATGGTTTCGGTCACGGAAGGCAACAACAAGTACATGTGTACGTAGACATCGAAAGTAATGAAATCCTTTTGTTGTCCAAATTATGGATGTCTTTAAGAAACTTGGAGTCGATTAAAAATTTACGAGTATATTTGATCATGTTTGATTAATGAATTAACTAAACAGAAAAGGCATGTTCAACAATCTGCAAATATGAAGCAATACAACCAAGAAACGAAATGATGGCTACCCGCAGATATCCACCCTGCAGTGTTGCCTTTCAACGAAGAAGATGAGATACACAAACAATGTTCGAAATTAAGTGTATTGTAAGTTGTACATTTTTATAAGATGAGATACACAAGCAATGCCTAAATCGTTTCTGTATTTTTTCGTTCGGAACCATGTTTAGCTAGCGTTGTCCTGAATGGATTTTTGAAACAGAATTATAATCTAAAATGTGGACTACTAGCTAGCTTAGGGTTTGAATGTGATATATGATGAACCACTTTATATAATTGGATTGATGATGAATCGTCCACTACACAGTTACTACCCTTTATAGCATGAGAATGCATTGCCTTGGGCAGCAAGAAAGAGGCATTCCCTAATTCCGAATATGTTCACACTCACTTGACCTTAATTATTATCATCTTTGCTGGCTAGATTCAACTTAATCTTTCTCTACACTCTACACTTAACCTCAATTCTAACTATTTGTATGTTGTATATTTGATGATGTTTATTAATGAATTAACTAAACAGAAGGCATGTTGTGTTAACAATCTGCAAATGTGAAGCAATACAACCATGAAATGAAATGACGAGTACCCGCAGATATCCACCCTGCGGTGTCGCCTTGCAGCAACGAAGCTGGTGTCTATAGGACAATATGATTTCCCCGGTCCGAAGGCTAGCTCCAGGGTGAGTAGCAGCAAATTGAAATAGCTATTTACTTAATCCAGAAGATAATTAATTATCTGCAAACGGGATAAGTAAGTTGAATAGAAACCATGAAGAGGAGAGCTCCAAAATTTCAAAGATAAGAATTACCACTGCTAGAAGGTAGTGGTTGAAACTCCAATTTACAAGATAAGATACACAAACAATGTCCAAATCGTTTCTGTATTTATTTGATTGGAACCATATTTAGCTAGCGTGGTCCTAAATGGATTTCTAAAATAGAATTATAATCTAAAAATTGAGACTATTAGCTAGCTTAGGGTCTGCATCTGATACATGAGGAACCGCTATAATTGGGTTGATTGGGTTGATGATGAATCAACCACTACACGGTTACCACCCTTTATAGCATGCATATGAGAATGCAAAGCCTTGCATAACAAGAAAGAGGCATTCCCTAGTTCAGGATATGTTCACACTTACTTGACCTTAATTATTATCATCTTTGCTAGTTAGCTTCACCTTAATTAATTTCTCCAGACCCCACCCTTAACCTCAACTCTAACTATTTAAACACCTCTTCATTTCTTTGAAAATTCACACTTGCTTCACTCTTTAGCTTTCCTTATTATTTCTCATCCCATCCCCACTCCCTCCCTTTGTTCTTTCGATAATTGCTTGACAACCATGCACTTCTTCAAGATTGTTCTCGTTGTCATCGCTCTTTGCTTCGTCACTTATCTCGGAAAGAGCAATGCTGCCACACCATATGATATCTTCCAATTCGTCCAGCAATCCCCATTCGTCTTCTGCCTCCGGAATGGAATTTGTGGAAACCAACCAGTTCGGCGGCATACCTTTACAACGCACGGCCTCTGGCCAAGCAACTTTACCGATCCATCTGCACCTATACTCTGCGCTGGTACCGTATTCAGCAGAAATGAGGTACACATCGAATATATATACTCATTTCAGTTTGTTTTTTCTCTGCAGCTCTCTGAAATGCTTGTAACTTCTCGTCTTTGTGCTTCAGATGAATGCTGATCATTCTCTGCAATTACTTTTGTTCAATTCCTGGCCCAACTTCAACATTAGACGGACAAATATGGATTTCTGGGCGCAGGAGTACAACAAGCACGGCAGGTGCTCGGACAATAAATTTTCCCAGACACAATACTTCCATGAAACTTATAGATTATGGTTTACCTACAATGCACAATATCTATTTTCTCAAACAACTGGGATTGTACCAGGATATCAATATCGTTACATTGACCTTGAATCGGCCATTCGAAGGACTATAGGAGGGAAAAAACCTCTCCTTATGTGCAAGTATGATGGGGGGATCACGTATCTGCTGGAAGTCGTCATCTGTTTTGACTACAACGCAGCGAATCCGGTCGATTGTGTCAGGACAACAAATTGTGGGGCATTGGTATGGTATTCACTCTAATAGGTATATATAGTGGCTACATATATCTATATTAATGTAATAAGAACAACAATATAATGATGATTTCGAATTTATCGATCTCACCATTTCATGACCTGATGAATTCTGATTATGGTAATTTGCAGTGGAATTTGTTTGGGGTAGTAAATTCGAAAGTTTGATTCTACTTTGTTTTAAAAGCCTTTCAAATCCGTCAAAATTACCTAGACCATGAAATTCCTAAGTTAAAACATGATCAAATATGCGGCAGACAAAGTTTTACTGACACCAAATTGCTATGCATCCTGCAAATATATAACATAATTGGCACAATATTACAAATGTTTTGGACAAGGGACGGTAGGAAATTATATTATTCACAGAAACAACAGGCGATGATAATCTCTATGAGATGGCGGTAGAACCTCTGGCCTGGAATTTAATGGAGAATACAATGAACGGGAAGTTGTTGAAGGTTTTTTGTACGGAGGTTATAGCGAACCTCATCGCTCCGTCCAAACTCCGAATGACTTATAGATGGGATGCATTGTGAGCTCGGGAGCTAATGATTTTGTCGAAACACCACCCTTATAAGTAGTACCACCATAACATTAGTGAACTGGTAACACCAAGTGTCAAATAAAAGTCACTTCAAAAAATTTCTCGGCTTCACAATAAGCGGAGGGGAAATTTTTGGTTCATCAGTTGAACCAAGTTGCAATAACTCAACAAGATACGCAATTAGTTTAGAAATCGATATCCGAAATTGCTCCAGGAACAAATCTTACACGTTTGTTGTTGTATAAATTGGTTGAGAGAGTATATATTCAAGTTACAATGGAGATGTATAAATGAGATTTTATCATTTACATACAGTAATATCGGAGTTGCTCTTCTTCTGCGCTCTCTCTCTCTCTCTCTCTCTCTCTCTCTCTCCCCCTCCCTCCCTATCCCCTCACCCACCCCCACAAACCCCAAATATATATATATATGTATATGTATAGTGTGTATACATAGGTGAAACCCCATCTTCCTATCTTCCTACTCTTTCTGCACCTTCCGTCCTATTCCTATCTAGATAAGAATGGTCAACTGATTTGGGTTCTTAATAATAATTTTCCCAGCAAGCAGCAGTGAGACTTAGAGGTCAGCAAGCCAACTTTCGAATACATTGCGGATGCGGCATTTATCAGGCTGCCTCACTATATAAATTTGATCTCCAATTTTATTGTCGGAGTCCTGGTTCCGGTACCATGTCCACAAAGCCCAAGTCTCATTCTTCACCTGCAAGTTATGACATCAAAATGCACGCTTGGTGCATAATCCAGGTGGTGAAACTGAGCTGTAATTCTAGTCTATACATTCTCAGCAGACTTCTAGCCTACATCTATATGTTTGCAACTCAATAACCGATCAAGGGTATTCAAGTCGTCACAGGATCTTCGCACTCCGTATAAACAGATATTGGTGCTAAGTGATTTTCTCGTGACATTGCAGTGGTATGGTAAAAATGATTTAAACTGGTTCCATAACATTACCCATGTGTGGTCTTTCTATGCCCATTAACTGTCAATCACATGCTCATCTTTCCATCAATCATTTTCAAGTTGTATCATATGTAGTGTAGGGTCGAACAAATTAAAGTACAACGTTTATAGAAAATTGAATGCATTGTCAAACTGGATATTTACCAAACAGAAACACAGAAAAAGGAGTACATCACGGATCCCATGGCCAAAGCTGTTTTCTCTTAAAGCACTGTAATCCGGTTGCCGATCCCAACAAAATTGACCTGCTGCTGGGCCGGAGGTAAAGTTCTCTGCACAAAAGGCACCTGCACCTAGGTGTTGGTCAGGAGTAGTTAATGGCTCTGGGCAATGACCAGGTTCGTCAGCATGTTGAACGGCCATCTTCTCCCGATTACCCCCGTCACCAACGGTGAGATATACAGGACCAAAGGGATGTAAGTTGTAATCATAAACTCGATTCAATCTCTCGTAGGCATGAACCTATTGTTTTATTCAAGAAAACAGAAGAACATTCAGTGCACTTTAAAGCAAAAAGATATTTAGTTACAATGAGAAAAATTGTTCATCATTCATAGACACTAAGGACAACTGAATACGAGTTTCAAGACATGGTCATTGTTTCTGATAGCGTTTCAAATAAGATTTGTATTATGTGTTTTAGCAATGAGGGAACCAAGTACCAATTAATTTCATATTAAATTTGTTTTCTCAAAAGTTCAAAGCATAAACTGCAGTTCCTTCTCTTTTTCTATCACTATCTGGTTACTGGTATGCAAGAAAGCCTCAGTCGAAGGACCCTTATACCACTTCTTCCACATGGTTTCCGGCTATAAGAAAGAAACCTGTTACCTATCAAAGATTGTGACAATCATTGGTGGTTATCGTTACTTACATGTCCATTGAACACTATATCAACACCATAAGAGTACAGTAGCTCTTCCATTTCCAACCTCATAGGCACTATACCAGGGAGGATGCCAAGTAGCTACCAACAAGGGAGTTGTGGATCTGTCCACATTAGCCAAATCTTGCTCCAGCCACTTTTATTGTTTCCCTGTAGGCAAAGTGATCACTGATTTAATGGGGATAGAAACAATAAAGAAATGACTTGTAAAGAAAAAGAATTGCAAAAATAGGAACATTTAGGCAAGGAATAAACTCAAAAATTAGGCAAACTTTAATTACCTGATTTGCTAAAGTCAGTGTAGGCTCCAAGCATGATAAAACGAATCCCCCCCTGCATTAAATGAGTTGTAGAATGTGGACGAAGATCCACTTTCTTCAGATGGGGTTGCAAACCGAGAACTATAAGCTTTAAAAGTCTTATTTTTAGCCTGTTCTTCTATTTCATGATTCCCTTCAACAACCATTATTGGAACTTTGGACCTAAACTCTGCATATACCTACACAAATTACCCAGCAAGGACAACATAAGAAAACAAGTTCTATGCCCTAATTTAAAGCAGCCATTGCGTGTACAAATAAAGCAATTGATGTTTTAACCTTCCCCAGTAATCCCATTGAGGCTGATAGGTCTCATGTATCGGAGAGTTTGGAAATGAGCAAGGATAGTAGTCAGAGCCAGTTTAATTTTTGAGGTAGAGGTTTGCATAAGTAACATCACCAATCACTAGAACAAGATCAAGATTGTTACTTGTCAACTGACTTATTGTGGTAGTTGTGTTGTAAGTAAGGCCAAGGTCTCCCACAACTGCTATTCTCTCCGGGTAGCTCCGAGGACCAGAAACTGGCATAGTCCTGAAATGGTATATTTCACTCATTGCAGGTATAGAAAGACCCCTGCATTGATAAAAGTATAGTGTATTCGGTTTCAACCCTACATCGAAACAATAATTAGATCACCAACTTATCAGAAGAACCACATTCCATCACAACTTATGTTTGGGGGATTTAAAAGTTCAGTCATTTCAGCAAAACCCAACTTTGTAATTCTCCATTGAAACTTTGAAGAAAATAAGAAGAAAATGAAATCAAACCTGTAAGATGAACATGGTGGATGATTCCGGAAGTGTAATTTTGGAGGCCTTCAAAAGGGTAGAGCTGATTGTAAACAAGAGAATACCCTGTGGCTTCATGTGTTGGTGGATATCTCAGCTTCCCACAATGAACAACGCTTGCCACATTTTTGGGTCCAATAGACATGTGTTACCGTTGTGGTTTCAAAGCGCGATTCTCTAGATCTTAAGACTTTCAACTTCAAGAATAAAGGTAAAGCACAGCCACCATAGAAATAGACATAAGTTACCATTGTGGTTCCAAGGACTATTGGTCATGCATTTGCCAAGGACTATTGGTCATGCATTTGCCGAGCACTTGCTCATGTTGTTGCTGTACAAAGTTATGGAAGGTTGGAAAAGCTATAATAGAATGCCAAGTTTCTCACCAATATGCATACCCAAATAACGTTGGGTTGCTTGTATTTATAATACAATTAAGATTACATTTAGGGTTTGAAAACCCCATTTACAAGGAATATTTGAAATTCAAATATACACAGATAAAAGAGTTAAGCACCTACAAAATATATATAAGTCATAAACTTAACCAACTGTTTGAAGATAAGAATTAGAAGACAACTCAAACACTTGAACTAGTGTTGACTTTAACTAAGTGAGGACTTCGTCTAACATCCCCCCGCAAGCTGACAAGACGAGGAAGAACTGGAAGCTTGGACACCAAAAGCTTAAACCTCGATGAAGACAAACCTTTTGTAACCAAGTCTGCCATTTGGTCCTGTGAACATATAAAATTTACCAGAAGTTCACCACGAACAACTTTCTCCCTTACGTAATGGTAATCGACCTCCAAATGCTTAGTTTGTGAATGAAACACAAGATTCGATGCCAAGGCAATAGAGGAAACATTATCACACCAAATTTGTGGACGAACCAAAGTAAGCTGCAAATCACAAAACAAAGATCTCAACCATGATAGCTCGGCTACAGTATAGGCCAATTGTCTATATTCAGCCTCTGTGCTCGATCTAGAAACTGTTTTCTGCTTCTTCCATGAAACTAAGTTGGAACCCAAAAGACACAAAATCCTCCTGTTGAATGTCGTGTATCTGGATCTCTACTGTAATCGGCATCAAAGAATGCATTGAGAAGCATGCTACCAGGTTTATAAAGAAGACCATTATCATAAGTGGACTTCACTCGAAGGATACGTTTCGCAGCAGTCCAATGAGTATTGTTTGGAGCGTGCATGAACTGGCATACCTGGTTCATAGCGTATGAGATATTAGAACGTGTGATTATCAAGTACTGCAAGGTGCCAACAATACTTCTGTAAGTATGTGGATCAAGATGAGGCTCTCCGGTAAACATGCTCGGTTTTTGCCCTGCAAGAACTGGAGTGGAAATGGGCTTCGCATCAACAAACTTGGTGCGTTTCAAGAGATCCAAGGCATACTTTGTCTGACTAAGACGCATTTGATGATTGAAATAGGACACTTCAACACAGAGACAACAGTGAAGAGGTCCTAAATCTTTCATGGAAAAAAGCGTCCTCAACTTTTTTATCAAGTGATGCATTTGAACTGGGTCATTGCCTGTAAGCAAAATATTGTCCATATATATCAACAAAATCAAACAAACTCCTCTTTGATTGAACACGAACAAAGAGTAGTCACACTTGGATTCTTGAAAACCCAAATGAAGCAGGAAGTCTGAAAAACATTGGAACCATGCTCGTGGTGCTTGTTTTAAACCATACAAACTCCACTGTAACTTGCATATGTGATTCGGATATTGTTTGTCAACAAACCTAACAGGCTGCTTCATGTACACTTCCTCTGTCAAGTAGCCATGTAAAAAGGCATTTTGAATATCCAATTGACGAACTGGCCATTAGTTAGAGACTGTAAGATTTAGTACCAAATGAATAGTATTATGCTTGACCATTGGACTAAACGTTTCGGTGTAATCAATGCCATGCTTCTGTTGAAACCCATTCGCAACCAACCATGTTTTATGGCATTCTATCGAACCATCAGCTCTTCTTTTAATCTTTTAGACCTACTTATTGGGAAGCAAATTCATCATAGGTTGATAAGGAACCAGTTTCCATGTTCCACACCTTTGTAGGGCATTGAACTCTTGAACCATAGCATTCCTCCATTCCTGGTGTTTAACTGCCTGACTGAAACACATGGGCTCAACAACTTTATCATTAGTAACAACATGCAATGCATACTTAGGATTTCTTTTATGGATTCTAGCTTTGGAGCAAGTGGTCATTGAATGACCTGGATTAGATGCACAAACTGGTTCATTTTGTTGATTATTCTGGTTGAAATTATTCTTGCTCACTGGTGGACCCTAGGGTTAAGGAAGGCACACTAGGGCTAGAGGGAATGGGGGAAATATGGTTGGGGTTAGATGCATGTATGGTAAGGTTTAAAGGTGAAGGAATAGGAGATGAAGGTGACACAGCAATATCTAAGGTAGGATTTAAATTAGTCACGGTGGGATTGGAGGTAGGGACTATAGCATGCTGATGAGGTTGAGTGGATGAGGGAGTCTGTTGATAAATATCAGGAAAAATAAGCAACAAATCAGGATTAGATAAATTACCTGGTGGTTGGACGTTTCCTTGTGAAGGTGTGATTTCCTGGAAAGGAAAAGAGTCCTCATCGAATTGGACATGGCGAGACAAATAAATTCTTCTCGTGGATAAATCCAAACATTTATATCCTTGGTGATCCAGCAAATAACCTAAGAAAACACATGGTTTTGACTTTCCTTGAAGTTTGTTTTGTGTGTATGGTTTTAGCCAAGGAAAACACAGACATCCAAACACTTTAAAAAAATCATATTTAGGTTTTGTTTGAAATAATTTTTGTATGGTGACTCATTGGAAAGAACTCGAGTTGGTAACCTATTTATTATGTATGTTGTTGTTGGACAAGCATCAACCCAATAGTTCGAAGACATATGAGCATGAGACAACATGACAACAACTGTTTCAACAATATGACGGTGCTTTCTCTCGGCGAGGCCATTTTGTTCAGGATGTTTTGGACATGAAAACCTTTGAGAAATCCCATGTGTGTCAAGAAAGTGGCGAAAAACATGACTCTTATATTCTCCTCCTTCATCACACTGGAGTGTTTTAATAGAACAATTAAACATGTTTTCAACCTTTGTTTTAAACTTAATGAAAATTTGAAAAACCTCTTACTTATTTTTCATTGGAAAAACCCACGAATAACGTGAATAATCATCAACAAATAATAAATAATAACGATAACCTTCAATAGAAACAATTGGTGAACACCAAACATCGGAATGTAAAAGTTCTAACGGAAATTTCAAAACAGACTTTGAAGATTTGAAAGGCAATTTTTTACTCTTGCCTAACGGACATGAATGACAAAAGGTTACTTCAAAAGTGCCACTTATTGGCACTTGTTTATTTGAAATCAAAAACTTTATTATGGAGGAACTAGAATGACTAAGTCGTGCATGCCACTGCTTTGCAGACACTCGAACTCCTAAAAATGCTGAAAATGGACGATTGGATAATCCACCGCCATTTGGAAATGGGTATAACCCATTCTCACACCTCCCTTGGAAAAGCGTCATCTGGGTCTTAAGGTCCTTAACAACAAAAAAATGTGGAAAATTAAAATATAACAATGGTTATCAAGGGTGAACTTATGGGCAGAAATAAGGCTAGTTGAGGCAAGAGGGCAATGTAAAATATTATTTACGTAAATGAGCAAGAACCACCCTTAATTTTATTAGAACCAGAATGTGCAATAGAAAGTCCAGAATCATTACCTACGCCACCAATGTTGTCATTGCCAGTGTATTATTTAGGGTTCACCGGGTTCTGAATGTCAGGTGTGATATGAGCGTTTGCTCTAGTGTCTAAGAGCCACTGACCATTTTATTGGTGATTCAGAGTGATTGGAGATGAGGCCATTGCAGTGAGGCGCTTAGCTGGGATTCGATCCTCATAGGCAAAGTTCATACGTTGATAACAATCTAGGGCATGATGCCCTTCTCGTCCACAAATCTGACAGGTTATACGCCCACTAGCAGACGCACAACGTTCCCTAGTATGACCAAAGCCTCGCTAGTTGTTGTTGTTGCGAACAGCATGACCTCGCTGATTCACAGAACCACCACGGTTGGACCGACCAACACCACGTCCAGTTTCTCGAGAACGTCCACCACATCCTCTTGCAGCCACATATGCATTGATTGGAGCAGTTTCAACCAATGGAACAGTCTGCTACAACATTCTTCTCTCAGTGGTCAGGAGAAGAGCCTCAAGGGTGGGATATGTAATGGGAGTATCCCGTGCTTATGCAGCATTCACGGTCATTTCAAATGCCAGTCTAAGGTTATTCAAGATAATTTGAACTAGCTCATCATCATCAATAGGCTTGCCAGCCAAGGGAAGGTTATCAAAAATTGAATTCATTTTATCAAGAAAATCAGCAATTGAAATATCACCTTTTTTTGTTTGCAGGAGTTCATTTCGCCTAAAAGATCATGTTCTGCAAGAAGGATGCATAACGTTGTTCCAAAGCTTCCCAGGTCACACGCGAGGTGCGTTTGCTAGCCACGGTTGACAGGACAAATGCCATGAGGGAACCATTGATCCAGTTGAGGATCATTTGGTCCTGTTGAATCCAGGTAGTATAGGCGAGATTAATAGCTGCATTTCCGGGGATGTGTTTGGGAGGAAAAACACATGAGCCATCGACGTAACCCATTAGGTCACAACTCTTTAGGATAGGAAGGATTTGGGCCAACCATAGTGGGTAGTTGGTCCTCTCAAGTTTAATATTGACAATGGTGGTCATGGCGGATGAGAAAGGATTGATTGCAGATGGGGTGGGGGGTTATTGTTGGTGTTGGAAGCGTTGTTGTCAATCATTGTCAAAGTTGATGGGCAAAGAAAAATATTTGGATCTTGTCGTTGGACTTAAGAAGGCTTTGATACCATGTACAAAGTTATGGAAGGTTGGAAAAGCTATAACAGAACGCCAAGTTTCTCACCAATGTGCATACCCAAATAACGTTGGGTTGCTTGTATTTATAATACATTTGAGATTACATTCAGGGTTTGAAAACCCCATTTACAAGGAATATTTGAAATTCAAATATACACAAATAAGAGAGTTAAGCAACTACAAAATATATGAAAGTCATAAACTTAACCAACTATTTGAAGTAAGAATTAGAAGACAACTCAAACACTTGAACTGGTGTTAACTTTAACTGAGGGAGGACTTCGTCTAACACAACTCAAACAATTGAACTGGTGTTGACTTTAACTGAGTGAAGACTTCATCTAATAGTAAGTATCATTCACATCGTAAAGTCATTTAGACTAACTTTGTTCAAGTTGGTAATCCCAAAGATACCATTATGTAGTTTTTTGATTTTCAAGAGTCACCTACACCGATGGAAGATTAGAACTTTTAAACAGGGGCCAACATGTGTCTGAGTTCCCCCTAGTGGCTAAATGCCCTTTTAATATTTGGTTCAAGTTTTTGAACAATTTTCTATGGAGTAATGTTAGGATCCTTAGGGAGACTAAATTTAAAGACAATTTTGTGAATTAAATGATATCAAAGTTGTTGATTAGATTATTAATTAAACATGGATGAACGTGATCATTCCTTATTGGTAGCACATCATTTGGTTTGCAAATTTTGTCTACAAATTTAGCCTCCATAACATTACTCTTTTTCTATGTATTTGGATTATTTATTGGTGTTTTGTTTTAAAATTTGGATAATTACTTTATGAATATGATTCTCGGGTGATTAGTGAATGAACGAAATTTAAATTTCCTTATACATGTGACTAAAGGCGAATTCAAACAAAAGCAATAATACTAGCCACTGTGAGGTTTGCCCATTCTTCGACCCTTTAGTATGGATAATATCAAATGTATTAAAATAAATAAATTTTAGAAATTTTTGAGATTCAAAGACCGTTTTACAGGAAATTATCGAGTAAAGCTGCCAATCCTTGATATTTATATGGTTGGGCATAATGCATGTGGTCCAATATCCTAGTGGATTGGAAGTTGATTTCTACCTTGCGTGTCAAGTTCAAACATCCCTCCTCATCTAAGTTATTATAGAAGTTTCGAATCATCCATTTAATAATCATAATTTTAAAAAATATGGTTGGCATAAGGCTATGTCCTTTTTATTTTATTTTTTTATGCAACGATAGCTTGTATTAACAAGCCAGAAATGAGGGAACAAAAAAAAAAAGTTTCTGATTTCTAGAAATCCTTAACTAAACGACAAAAACAACTACTGTGAATGGCAAATTAAGCTAGCTGATGGATTATGTCGGTGGTTAAAAGGCACACATGGGAAGGTGTTTAGGCCCAAATAGTTTTTAGGGTCAACAAAAGATAAACTTCGGTGATTGTAATAATCAGTCTGTTCAAAACAAAATAAGTTTGGGGTAGTATTCAAAACAAGACCGCAAGACAATACCCCAAAAGTAACCCATTTAGGAATGGACCAATAATTTCCAGTCAAGTACTTAAACGAAGAATTGCAGACTTCAAGCATTAAAATTCAACTCTAACAAATCCAATAATTTCAACAGTTTACACTTATCAGCAAAATTAGACCGATACTGGAGGCATTGGAGCACCAGATTAAGCTCAGCTTTTCGAGCCTAGGGAATCTGTCATTGATAGCAATTATACCGGCATTCGATAAGCTGTTCAAATCAAGCACGTTGTTGTCGGAGCCATTGGCAGAATGCAGCCTCACCGACGAAAGGTTAAGGTGCTCGTCAATATGAACAGCGTAGACGTTGCGGAATTGGCAGCGAGGAGGCTGACGACGAGGTTCGGGCTGCCGGTGGTGCCAATGCAAAGGACGGTGTTGTCGAGGCGCTCGAGGGCGAGCTAGCGCTTGCAAACGAGGGAGCAGTCATCACGGCTGGGCTTGGAGTCGAGCCGCCGGAAGAGCTCGGCGATTTACATAGACTATCCTCCGAATACTCTTTCATCACGGAGACTATTAATCTGATTTACAAATTGAGGGCCAGGAGTCTGATGTCCATAAACTAGTGTCTTCGACATGTCTTCTTTCCTACGATGCACAGACACAGGGGAAAACCAGCGTATCCCGTATCTGACACGCAAGGATACGGATACGCATAAGATACGGGTGGATACGCGCCCGATACGTATCGGAGTGAAAGGATACGTTGTTGAACAATGAGATACGCGTATCGTACTGTGGAGATACGGGTATCCCATTTTTCAGATACGTTTCAACTAAAATCGGAGGATAATCAGAATCGAGCTTGATTGAAATTAGCTAAACTAAAATTCGGATTTACCTAATTTTCCTCGCTCGAACCTCAGAAATCAAAATCGTGCTTGACCGTCGTCTGCAACTACTCCGTCGTCTCTGTCGTCTCCGTCTGCAACAGCTGGTGAGAGCTATTCGAAGCTTACTCCTCTGCTTCACTGATCATTGAAATATTCAAAGCTTAACTGATTCCCCGAGGTAAAAACCCATCTCTGAAACTGCAAGCCCTTTTTGCTTTGCTTTTCTCATCTCTGAAACTAAAAGTCTTTTGCCTTTCTGATCTCTGTTTTTAACTTTTTGTATATGATAATAATAATAATATTGTATTTTTTATATTATAATATATTATTCTGAAGTAGATTGAGCTCTTATTGTTTATATGTTTTTTTAATTTTCTCGAAAATGTTCATTTTAATTTTTCAAAGTTTGGATAGACTATCCTTCTAGTTGTTTGAAGTTTATTGAAATAAATTTGAACTTGAGTAATAAATTTGAATGCTTATTTTATAATATTTTAGATTTATTTATTTATATTTTTAATTACAGTATCCCTAACGTATCGTGTCTTCGTTTTTAGAAATTTAACGTGTCCTTGTGTCGTATCGTGTCGTATCTCCGTATCCGTATCCGTGTCCATGCATCCTAGCTTCTTTCTAACTTAGTGACACATGCTTCAACTTATTACCAAATCAACAATGTTAACGTTAAAAGGTAGAAAAAACATAACATACCTACAAGTAAGACACATTAATCTGTGACAGGTTGATTATAAAAAAAAAAAAAGAATCTGTCATATAGGTAGATAAATATAATTAACTTGTGATATAGGTTGATTATAAGAATTAAAAATAAAATCTATAAATAAGGTTTAAAGTAGGAGGAAGAACGAGAAATAACACAAAGATAAATAAAAAGTAAAAGGCAAAGAGATAATTGGGAAGAAATTTGATTTTTATAATAAATCTTATCATTGAACAGATATGATATCTCGTTGTCATTGCTCTTTGCTTCGTCACTTATCTCGGAAAGAGCAATGCTGCCACACCATATGATATCTTCCAATTCGTCCAACAATCCCCATTCGTCTTCTGCCTCCGGAATGGAATTTGTGGAAACCAACCAGTTCGGCGGCATACCTTTACAAAGCACGGCCTCTGGCCGAGCAACTTTATCGATCCATCTGCACCTATACTTAGGCCTGGCAATTTCTGACACGACCCGATAACCCGACACGACACGATACGAAATTAACAGGTGTTTGGGTCGACACGATAACGAATCGGGTCGTTATCGGGTAACCCGATAAGCACCTGTTAAGATAACGGGTTGGTTCGAGTATACACGTGGGTAACACGATACACGATAAGCAGAATATTATTTTTATAATTTTATAACCCTAAAAAAATACTATAATAATTATATACATTAATTTTACAATTTTATACCCCTAAAAATTATAATAAATATATATATATATATATTAAATTAACTATAAAATTTATAATAATTATAATAATTATATATACTATAATAATTATACCCCCAAAATATTAAGTCTATCTATAATAATTATATATATATATATTAAATTTTATAAAAACTATAATAATTATTAATTAATAATTTAATATGCATGATGCATTGCATGATTTTGCATCCATTGAAATTTGATGTGATTTCTTTCCATTCAAATTTCAATAATCAATTTCTTGCCGTTGCCAACTTGCCGCCCTTTTTGAAAAAAAAAATGGAGGGAAAATGAAAATGTTAAGAAAAGTTGAAAATGAAACAAAAAAGTGAGGGAATTAGGGAAAGATGTTGGAGGGAAAAGTGAAAATGATAAGAAAAAATTGAAAAGGAAACAAAAAAGAGAGGGAAAAATGAAAATTAATAGAAGTGGTGAGAAATTTTTTTTTTTTTTTTTTAAGTTATTAACTTTTTATCACACAGATGACTGTCATGACATATCTCACTATTTTTATAATGACACACGTGACACATGATGCATGTACTATTCCGTGTACCAGTCAATTATAATTTATACGTACAAAATAAATAGATTTAAATCTACTTAATAAATATATATATACACACACACACACACGGAACTTGATTGATGGCATACGAATTCTCCAAAACTAATTTCAACGATCCAAACCGTCAAAATTGTTTGTATATGCTTGGAGATCACATCAGCAAAAAATCACAAGAAAAAAACATTCAGAGATCAAGTAACGGGACAAAGCTTTTCAACGGTTATAAACGAAAAATCATGATTTAACGGTTATTTTAACTCCGATTTTGATGATTTTTTATAACTACACTCCTTGACCCTATATGAATAC